TCCCACCAGCAATATATGAGAGTCCCAGTTGGTCTACATTTTTGCCAGTACTGGTTATTGGTGGCCTTCTAACGCTCTCCATTCAGGAGGGTGCTTGTTATATCTCATTGTGGTTTTAATCACATTTCCCTGATAAGTAATCAGTTTATGCTCTATTTTTCAGCCTTATTGGCCATTTGGATGTCCTCTTTTATGAAGTGTTTATTCAAGTGTTTGTTGTATTGGGTTGTTAATTTTTTTCTTATTTATTTGTAGGCATTCTTTACATATTCTGGATATGAGTCTTGGAGATAGATATTATAAATATCTTCTCTCTGATTCGCCTTTTCATTTTCTTAATAAAAGTAATTCAATAATTAATCTTTTGATGAGTGTAAGTCCTTCATTTTGGTGATATTCAATTTTTTAATATTTTTACTTTATGATTAGGACTTTTTTTTTTTTTTTTTTAAAAAAAACAGCTAATTACCTTTCCATCTCTTGAGTATTTTAAGACAGATAAAACATGGAGAACCACTGCTGTAGAAAGTAAGCCCCAGTTACTCTGGATGCTGTTGGATTCTAGTTTTGATTAGCTGTTTGCCTAGAGTGGTGTCATAAGCCTTCATATTTATGAAGCACTTTAGGTTTTTACAGAGATCTTTATCATTCAATCTTGTTTAATCCCATGCAGGAGCTCACTAAGGTATTTGCAGAAGTGCATGACTGATTTTGACACCAGAGGACTTGGGTGGTCAACATGAGCTCTCTGGGGCCTGCGGTGCCATCACATTGGCATGGCATTGTGCACAAGAGTTAAGGGTTGGGCTGCTTGTGTTCACATCCTGGCTCTGAATCTTGCTAGCTCTGTGGTTGTGGACAAGACACTTAACCTCTCTGAGCCTTGATTTTCTCATCTGCTAAAGGGGAATAATGAGAATACACTTTTCTCATGATATAGGTGTGAAGATTAGGTGAATTATTATCGTTATTATTTTTTGAGATGGAGTCTCGATCTGGCACCAGGCACCAGGCTGGAGTGCAGTGGTGCGATTTCAGCTCACTGCAACCTCTGCCTCCTGGGTTCAAGCTGTTCTCCTGCCTCAGCCTCCCAAGTAGCTGGGACTACAGGTATGAGCCACCACTCCCAGCTAATTTTTGTATTTTTAGTAGAGACAGGGTTTCACCATGTTGGCCAGGATGGTCTCAATCTCTTGACCTCATGATCTGCCCGCCTTGGCCCCCCAAAATGCTGGGATTACAGGTGTGAGCCACCACACCTGGCAGGTGAATTAATTTATATATAGTCCTTAGCACAGCAGCTGGCACATACTGCTGGTTTATGATTATTAATGTTCTTTTATTATAGTGACTCTAATAGGCTCACAATTCTTTGTAAAGGTAAAAAGAGCTCTGATCATATACTCCATTTCTCTTTCATTGTTTCATATGTTCCCTTCCTCATTCCATATTATCCTCCTACTTTTTTTTTTTTCTTTTTTGGGATGGAGTCTTGGTCTGTTGTCAGGCTGGAGTGCAGTGGCTTGATCTCTGCTCACTGCAACCTCTGCCTCCCGAGTTCAAGCAATTCTCCTGCCTCAGCCTCCCGAGTAGTTGGGACTACAGGAGCGCATCACCACACCCAGCTAATTTTTGTATTTTTTAGTAGTGACGGGGTTTTACCATGTTGGCCAGGTATCCATCTCTTGACTTCGTGATCCTCCCGTCTCGGCCTCCCAGATCGCCGCGCCTGGCCTATCCTCCTACTTTTAATCTCTCTCGTCTCTGACTCCCCGCCCTGCCCATTTTTGCTATGAAGAACCACATGCATTTCAAACATGAACTAAATTGCCATCCTGTAAGAGAAGGTCTCAATCTATGCTATTTTATAGGGACTGACATGGAAAGTGGAGGGTCGTTGAAGGTTTTGTTTATTTTATTTTGTTTTGAGGGATAATTGTTAGTAGGGACACGGGGAAGGAAAATATGGTGAGAAAGTTATTGTTTTACTCCAGAATAAAGAAAGTTCACCCTTTCTACCTTGGTTCTTGGAAATCCATATGCAAGGCATTTGTGTAACAGTGGTTCTAACTGTAATGAAGGAAAAGAAACTTGGAATCAAATGAGTGTTTTCTATGATCCAGATGTACATACATCAGGCTGAGAGAAAATTATCTGAACTTAGGGTCATGGGATTAGAACTGAGTGTGTTAAATCCGCTTTATTCACCACCTACTATCCGCCCCCTACCCTACTCCACTCTGCAAAAGGGAACAAGACTACATGTGGAAAAGAACTTGTATTTTGATATTTCTTCTTGAAATGAAAACAAATCCTGTTGACTTTCCTGGTTACCAAGGCCAAGTGGCCCACCCTTCATAGCCTCTGAGCTTGTCAAGCTTCCTCTTTATGGCTCGGGGTGGAAATCTCACACTGTGTGCCATGACATTGATATAATACCTGTGAGCCCCTGAGACCTTGATACATAGGCAGCTCTTGTGATCTCACTGTTTGCTGGTGAGCCACTAGCAGGAAACAAACTAGAGACATGTTGGCTCCTTGAACTCACTGCAGAGAGGAGGGTGACTTTGCTCTCTAGGGCAAGGGGAACAGGAAGGAAAAGAGTGGGGATGGAGTGGACATCCCAGGGTGTGGGCCTCAAACTTAACTCTGAATCAAGATCACCTGGGGAGTTGGTTAAAATCCAAGTTCCCAGGGTCACCCCAGTTCAGATTCAGTAGAGTGGGATTGGGCTGGAATCTCCATGTAAGAGGAATGCCCAATTCTGAAGCAGGTGGCACAGGAGCAGCACCTATATCAACACTCAGAGACCCAGAACCAGCGACTTGAGAGTTCTGCAATAGACAGTAGCTGCAGAGGCTTTTCGTTCTGCAATAGACAGTAGCTGCAAAGCTATTAAAATGTTGTGGTTGGTTTTTAGAAAGGTGGAATAAATCCATTGTGCCCTCAAGCCACAGGGTCATTTCTGTGGAGCCACCACTGTCAGCTCTCTGCAGACACCCAGTGAGTCTGCCACACTGAATGGGCTGATGGTGAGAAGTGGGCGCTTGGTTGGGTCTGAGAATGAGAATTTCTGACAAGACAAGGGAGAGTCCTGGAAGATACTCATGGAGAGAGGAGTTATTCCATCTTCTGAGTTACCTTTGTATGATGGTGCCAGTCCCAGTGTGAACTTCATGGGAATGACTACCCTCTTGGGATCAGGGTCCCACTGTCATCAACATGCCCACCATGTACCTGCCCACCCCTCCTCCCACCCACATACACCCACACTCATCTTTTTGTCTCTTGCTCCTTTTCTCATTCCCTTCTCTTGCTCGTTTGCATGCTTTCCACCTCTCTCTCTCCCCCACACAAACACGTTCAACACCCTCACACATTCACACTCCCATCCTGATGCTCCTTATAACCCCAACCCTTCTGTATTTACATGCTTAGAGCTCTAAATTTTTTTTTTTTTTTGAGATGGAGTCTCATTCTGTCACCAGGCTGTAGTGAAGTGGCATGGTTTTAGCTCATTGCAACCTCCACCTGTGGGTTCAAGCGATTCTCCTGCCTCAGCCTTCCGAGTAGCTGGGACTACAGGCGTGGGCCACCATGCCCAGCTATTTTTTGTAGATTTAATAGAGAACGGGTTTCACCATGTTGGCTGGAATGGTCTCCATCTCTTGACCTTGTGATCCACCCACCTCAGCCTCCCAAAGTGCTGAGATTACAGGTGTGAGCCACCGTGCTCAGCTAAAATTTTTTTTAAGGGGATGTTGAGGGGTGATTAATGAAAAGAATCAAATGTGATTTTTAAATTATGTTAAACACAAATAGGTTTAGCATATTTGTTGGAACTATAGATATAAGCCAGAAGCAGAGATGATGGGCGTGTGAGAATTAACAGGCTTGGGTGTTTATGGGGCCCCGGCTTGTGCTGCTTAGGGTGTTGCTCAGCCTGTGTGGTTTTCATACCTATTGTTGTATGATCATCAGCAGCGTTTGTGCACTCAGACAGGCATAGGACATTAGTTGTTGCTCAGTGGACCTCTTCCTCCTTTTTAGGCTGTCTCAAATTTTAAGGAGGATGGTTTTAACTAGCAATTCTTAACTTTTTGAGGGCTGCAGTTCTTTTTGAGAATCTGATAGACAATTTGAATTGTCTCTACAGAAAAACACACATACATTTGAGGGAGAGGAGGAGGTGGCTTAGAGACACTCTAGGATCCATCCTCACCTTAAGCGAAGAATGCCTGCTTTAATGGGCATTGAAGGCTTCTAGCCACTTCTCCCACGGTCATTTTTATGGCACAGTCTCTTTTCTTGTGGAGTGCCATTTGTAATGGGAACTGAACAAATACCATTTGACATTGTACGCATGTCTTCTGGAAGGTTTGTGCTCAGTTTTAGAGAGCAAGCAGATTTCAGTGAGTGAAATGATCTAATGCATATAAAGCACTTAGCACCTGACATGATTAAGTACTTATTTTTTAAAAATATTATGCACATTTAATCATAACTACCAAGATGATGACCACCATAAAACTTCACCGTGACTGAAACAGTTTAGAAGCATTGGACTAGATATTGGAAGACATGGATGCCTCCAGCTTGGATATTTTCCCCTCTTTTTTGAGTCCAGTGATTCCATTCACTTCCACAAATATTTATTGCATTTCTCCTGCAAGTAAAATATTCTGTTAAGCATTTTGAGGACTAGAATAAAATTTCAAGGAACAGTGTCTAAAGGAATCACTTCTATATGTCTCTTACCTGTAAAATAGGGTCATATCTTCCGTGTTTCTGCCTCTCTGAGGTAGATGGACTGACAGAGGAATTTGGTCCTTCCTTTCTGAGACTAGAAGGTAGCTTAGAAAAGCCAAGTGTTGTGCCCCTCTTGGTGTTGTTAACCCTAGCAACCACTGACTTAGTTGAGTGGATGTTTAAAATTCACCTTCACCAATGTCTCTACATGTGGCATTGATTTCATATCCATGTGTCTCCCTTCTCTGCAGGCCGGGGGTTATCACCATGCAAGCATTGTCGGAAGAGGACCGGAGGCTCTGGATGGAAGCCATGGATGGCCGGGAACCTGTAAGTAACAATTCAGGGAAGTAGAGCAAGAATAAAGGCCCCGAGTTTTTTGTTGCTTCCCTAGTGCAGTGATTTTTGCTGTTGTTCTAAAGTCTTGGGTTTTTGAAACCAATGTACCAGAGGTGGTTTTTTATTCCTAGGTTTATGTTTGTGGATATTGATATTGCTTCTGTAAAGATGTAGTTCTTGATCTTCGGCCTCTCAATCCTAAGGCATGGGCTCTGCATGGCATTACACCAGAACTCCCTCTTTGCAGAAACAGGTGTAATGTCCCCAGGTCTATTGAAGGAGGCAGAGTCTGGTCTGGCCTGCTAAAATTACAGGTTATGCAACATCTTTTATCATTGACTTGTGGTTCAGCTTCCTGTAGTAACTCATCTCATCTTATAAGCAGTGGGAGATTATTAGGGTGGATGGAGGGAGGTGGGCCTGGTAATGTGATCCATGCTCCCATTTCAGAGATGCTGGCCTCAGCTGGGTGGTGTAATCTTGTAGTTGTTCTGTATCTTGTGCCATGTAAAATCTGTAAGAGCCCTGGAATCATTGTAGTCACCTTATTTTAGTTCCAAGGATCTCAACTCCTTTAGTTTCCTAAAGAGAGAGATAAATATAGACAAATGATGTCTATGTAATTGACAGTAATACTAGGCTTAATTTTGTCTCCCATTGCTGAAAGCCTCTAGGGGACATTACTAGAGATATATGCCCAGTAGACAATTAGCAGCTCCAGCTTTAATCACCATCTCCCTGATTAGTTAAATCTGTCCCCCTGGGAGTTTTGGATTTCTCTAGTTAGCTCTTTCTCTAGTTGGTGTTAGTGTGGTTGCCTTATTTCAGCAAATCACAAGGTTACAGAAATCCTGAGTACAAACTAACCGTGTGCCACCAACAAAAGAGAAAAAGAATCTACAATGCCAGAGTAGATTGATACAAAGGTACTATCCAAAGGGAGGAAATGTGTGCAAGGAAGAAGTAGGCCATGGGCTTCACTGACTATAGAACTCTATGCGTCAAGCTGGATAATGTCAGCTGATTTGTGTGTCTCTTTCTCAGTCTACCCTGGTGAGGTGATCTGGTAACATAGATTAATGTACCTTTTTACTCAGTCATATTTTATACAAACATGGGACTCAACTCAATCAACTAAGCATAAAGAAATAACTAGTATTGTATGACATTTGACATAGAGCAAGGTCTCTTAAAGATTTGAATGATGATTAAGGCACAGTTTGCTAAACTGTAATTAAGCGTTGTTTAATCTTCATTCTTCTTGTGGGCTAAAATATAAGATAGCTCTCATTGTCTCTGAATATGTTGTTACCCCTAGAAACCCTCAAAACCAGATATACATTTCTACCTTTAGAGCTTTATGGGCACAATAGCTGCTTGATGTCAAAGGCCTTTGAAAGAAGCTTCCCAAGTAGGTCTTTCTTTTTGCTAGCATTATCTACCATTTGTTGAGCACGTTTTTGCATGTTAGGCACAGGATTAAGCACATCACATCTCTTAACCCATTTATTTCCCTTTAGTACTTAGTGAGATAAGTGCTGTGATTCCATTTTATAGGTGAGGAAACTGAGGCTTAGAGAGGTTAAATAACTTGCCCCAAGTTGCACAGATAGTAAATGGCTGTATTAGTAGGATACAGGCTAGGTTGCTATAACAGAGAGACACAAAAGTACAGTGACTTATGGAAGATAGGGAAATGTATTTCTCTCTTAGAGCCGAGAAGGAAGCAGTCTATGCCTGATAGGGTCATTCTGCCATCCTCAGCCCATGGCTTCCTACCTTGCTCCAGTGATTGCCATTTTCCCGCCAGAAAAATGAGGACAAAAGTATTTTGAAGGATTCAGAAGATGCACTCATCACTTCCATTGGCTCAAACATAGTACAGCCACATCTATCTCCAAAGCAGACTGGGAAATCTAGGTTGTACCTAGGCAGTCATGAGCCCAGCCAGGACCCCGGGCATGTTATTACTTCAAAGAAGAGGAGGAGAAAGGATACTGTGAATAGTTGGCAGTCCCCATCCTAGTGGCAAAGCTAGAATTTGACCTATGTCTAATCCTAGACATATTCGATTTTCATCTTTAATGGAGATAAAATTTCAAATTGCCTTGTAAGAATTCTCAGTTCATTTTTACAATACTTTCACTCATTGCCTTGAATGGTTCTTCAACTTATAGGAGAGGAAACACCCAGGGAGAAAAATCCTGTTACGTCATTCTATTCTTGGTATGCGTAAAAAAGAGCCAAATTATAACAACAACAACAAAAAACCCACCAAAACCTACTAACATCTCTCCCCCTGTCCCCAATAAGTCAGAGTTCTAAAACTGCCTTGCCAATTAATTCAATTTTAAGCCTTCCCTGCCTCTTTCCCTACCACTTAGATATTTGTTCTCTGTCTGTGTATAATTGATCTTCTTACTAACCACTTCAGTTTTCCTGTAGATTAACATCTGGCCTGTACAGATGGAAAGTGTGCTGTTGAAAGAAACATCTTACTCCAGAATGTACAAATTAAAACAAGTTTAAACACAAAATAATTTTGTTTCTAAACATGATATAAAATTATTTCCTCATAGGAACATATATCTTGCACTGAAAACCCACACTTCCATGTGCTTTTTAGTTTCCTAAAGAGAGGGATAAATATAGACAAATGATGTCTATGTAACTGACAGTAATACTAGGCTTAATTTTGGCTCTCATTGCTGAAAGCCTCTAGGGGACATTACTAGAGATATATGCCCAGTAGACAATTAGCAGCTCCAGCTTTAATCACCATCTCCCTAATTAGTTAAATCTGTCCCCCTGGGAGTTTTGGATTTCCCTAGCTAGCTCTTTGTCTAGTTGGTGTTAGTGTGGCTGCCTTATTTCAGGGAGATGTTAATAGTGGCAACTATCTTCTGTTTTATACTTCTATCTCAGTTTGTTCTATGATGGATTATTTGGTGTTGGTGGTTTTTTGTTTTTTTGGGGGGGGATTGTTTAGTTTCTATTTTTTTTGGTCTTTCATTGTTCACTCATACCTTAGGATGGTTGGTTGAAAATCAAAGAAAAGCTAAATGAGCCCCAAATCAGTTGATTTTGCAACATTTCATTTTTAAATATTAAATTTAGTTTTAGGGCTAAATCATAGTTTTTAATATACAATCATACGCTAGTCCAAAGAAATGTTGAATGTCTTTATGGTGTTGGTGGACATATAATGGAGGAAAAAATTAGAATTTTCTTCCTACAGTAAGCATTATTTATGGATGTTATCTATGTAGTAAATTTGAATTATTTTAATTCAAATGTAGGTAACCCAATTCGAACTTGGGAAAAGCTGGATTTATTGGGTTACATGACTGAAAAATACTGGAGTCTAATAGTCTTCGACCCATCTGAATCTGGGATCTTATATAATATTTGCAGTTGGTTTCTTCTTTTGAATTGGCTTCATTTTCCAACGTGTTCTTTTCATAGAGTGGTGAGATGCTTCCTTACTATTTGTTCCAATCTTACATCTTATTATTAAGAACAGATCATAATAAGATGTAACCTTTTTCTGTAATGGGCCGGATAGTAAGTATTTTAGGATTTGTGGGCCATGTGGTTGCTGTTGCAGCTACTATCTTTGCTGCTGTAGCTAAAAAGCTGTCATCAACAACATGTAAATGAATAGGTATAGCCATGTATCAGTAAAACTTTGTTTACAAAAACAGATGGCTGGCCAGATTTGGGTCATGAGCCATACACAGTTTGTTGATCCCTGATCTATAAGTCTAGCGGAAAGAGAACTTTTATGTAATCATTCGAAAAAAGTTCCTTATGTGGATTTTACTGGACTAACTTGGTCCAGAGGCCAGGATAGATGAATTGACCAGAACTTACTCATGTGCCCATTGCAATGGAGCTGTATGAATGGTGAGGGAAGGTTGTCTTTCTCTGAGAGAAAAAGCACTGTTGTATAAAGGAAGGAGGTAGATACTAGTCAAGAAAAGCAACACAGTTTCTACTTATTCTCAGATGTGTGTTTCTTTAAACTTTATGTTCAGAAAGCTTCCTTTTTGATACTTGACTAAAGGTGAAAACCCCAAGTTTACCACTAACATCATACTTAGAGTAAAAGACTGAATGCTTTCCCCTTAAGACTGGGAACAAGATGAGGGTGTTCACTCTCACTACTCTTACTCAACAGAGGACTGGGTGTCCTGGTCAGTGCAGTAGGACAAGAAAGTAATGTAACAGGCATACAGATTAGAAAGAAAGGGATAAAACTGCCCCCACTTTCAGATAACACGATTGTCTGTGTAGAAAATCCCAAGGAATACACACACACACGCACACACATACACAGAACCCTTCTATAATTAGTGGGTGAGTTCAGCAACGTCACAGAATACAAGATAAACACATATAGAAAATCAATCATATTTCTATAGATTAGCCATAATCATATAGTGATCAAAGTTAAAAGCATAACACCATTGTTAGTCACTCTCCCCAAAAATGAAGTGACTAGACATAAATCTAATTAAACATGTAGAAGACCTGTATGTTGAAAATTACCAACTACTGATGAAAGAAACTAAAGATCTAAATAAATGGAGAGACGTAAATGGATTGGAAGAATGAGCATAGGAAAGATGTCAGTCCTCCTCAAATTGATTGTAGGTTTAATGCAATTCCTATCAGAATCACAGCAAGATTTCTTATAGATACAGACAGGCTTGTTCTAAAATTTATACATAAAGGCACAGAAACCAAAATAGATAAAACGATTTTTAAAAAAGAAGAATGAATTGGAAGTAATATCTCTACCCTATTTTAAGACTTCCTTTTCAGTGAAAGTAATCAGGACTATGGTATTGACAGAGGGATAGACACATAGATCAGTGGCATAGAATATGAATCACAGACACAGCCTACACAGATACGACCAACTTAATTTTTGAGAAAGGTGCCAAAGCAGTTCAATGGAGGAAGGATAGTTTTTTCAAGAAATGGTG